CCAACAAAAGGGGAAGGAAAATCGCATTGCACTTGAAAAATAAATCTGGAAAGCCATTTTCACCTCGTTTGTGAACCGCAAAGCTCAAAAGTATTGCGAGCGGTGCTGAGTCGAGTTAAGTTCTAGGAAAGGCAGGAATCAGAGAAAAAAACGCCGCCATGGCTGATTATGGCAGAAATGCCACTTCATTTAAAAGTTGTGGTGGCAGGTGCAATAATCCATCCAAACAGCGCTATAATCTGTGGTACATCAGCGGGTTCGAGAATCCAAGATTCAAGCGCTAGCTGTGCTGCTAACATCGAAAGGCCAAGAGGCAAACCCAACAGAATTATTTCAAGCTGTTATGCAGGAAGGTATGTGAAGATGGCAAGCTCTAGGTAAGCGAGCCTAGAAATATGGTCCGACAACTTTCCGAGGGGCACAAATAGCAGTGCCTGAAGTTCTTGGCCGACTACGCTTTAATACTGCAGCGTTTCGTAGCTGGTACAAGCCGCTATCTTCAAGACGGGTGGAAGACCGATCCAATGGCAAACACAAATAACGAGTTAAAATACTCAGCTATACGACACACCAAAATGTCTATTAAGTTATTTATTATCCAACACGCCTAATTGTTATTTCAGTGCTGGCGAATTTCGCTGATATTTATTTACGGGCAGGGAGTGACAAAAGTATGCGAAGCGGAGCGGAATTGGCGGGTTGTCGTGTTGTTGTTTCTATTTTCTTCAATACATGATGAAGTTTTATGGTCGTCTGGCTGCTTTTCTTCGTTCTATTTATGTATTACAGTTGGATCAATATTCGCTTGCCATTCTCATTCTTCGTCGTCAGAGTAATGGTTTAAATTGTCTGCCTCTTTTTTTTTTTTAAACTTCAATCGAATTCGTCGCTTGTGCGTTGTGAGAAAACCTGTCTAACCGGTTCTTTGGAGTACAAACACCGCATCATATTTGTACTCGTCTTCGGCGTTATTTGTACTCTACGGAGTACAGTTGGATAATAAATGTTTAAACCTTCAAATAATTGTTCTTATATTAAACATGGAAAAAGGTTTTCCATCCAATCGTAAAGAAAAATTTTTTGGTTCGATTCAATCTTTTCCTATGATTCAATCCAATATCTAAAAAATTGATTTGATTCGATCCAATAACTAAAGTATTGATTCAATCCAATACCTTAAATATTGATACGTTCTTCCTGGGCCGAGCGTGGCCAAGAGAAACAAAACTAACTGAGCACGAGAGAACGCTAAAATTATGGCGGTAGAAGAAGGATTTGACCTGGAAGTTGAGTTTATTAAGTCTCTTGTAGACGTCTTGGATAAAACTGAAATACTGTTTGAGAAATTTGACCCAGAAGCTGCAAAAGCACACGCCGAAGTTCTTGATCAAACCATTAGTTTGCTTAGGTCAATGAGGCATTAGTACAACCTTGACAAAAAGGACAAGGACAATTTGGATTTCATTGCTGCCGCCCTTTTAGATGTGCTCGTGTCACAGAGCTATAACTTTATCAACTGTAGCTGCGGATTCCGTTACGAGAGAAAGGGAAAAAGGAGAAAATCGTAGAAGACCATTTCTTAAACTTCCTGTTGAGGTACATAAGGAACTTCGAGGACTAGCCACCTGGACAAGGATAGCAGACATTGAAGTTTCGAGATGGACAATTCATAGAAGAGTGACAAAAGTATGGCCTTAAACATATGAGGGGTTTTGACAACTTATCAGATGAGGAACTCAACCAAATCATTCAAGGGTACATTTCTAACCATGGGAGGGCTACTGAATGTAACTTCACTGCAAGTTTCTTCAACTCGATTGAGTTACGGGTTCAACGAAGAAGAATGCGAGAAAGGCCGGCGAATTTAGATCCTCAAAATACTGCCTTGAGATGGGATGTTATCGTAAGGCGCAGGAAGTACTAGGTACCTTGACCAAATTCTCTCTTGCATCTGGACAGACATCACTCTTTGATTCGCTCTTTTTTCACTCTTTAACGTCAGTGGGTTCTCCTACCACTGACCACCTGTC